ACTGTTTATGTACTCCTGGAATTCATGCACATATTTTTCAGCCGCCTTGTGGTCCTAACTGGCAGCCTCACCATGCCTTACCACACTGTGTATGCCAGTACGCTTCTTAAATTTCTCAAACCAGCCTTTGCTAGCCTTAAATTCACTCACATCATCACTAGTTGCAGGCAATTTCTTTACCAAATCGTCATGCAACTGCCTAGCCTTTTCACAAATAAGCGATGTCATAAGACTGTCTCCTGCTAATTGTTTCTCATTTATCCACACCAATAATAACTTCTCAACATCTTCGAGTACTGGTGATCTCATTTTTGTCAGCATATTTACCCCCTTTGCAACAACAGCATCCTTGATTTCCTTTTTCTTGGCTATGATGGAAGATATGGTTGTACGGGATTTGTTATACATCCTGGCCAGTTCGCCCACATGTATGCCACTATCATATTGTTCAATGATGTTTTTCTTAAATTCAATCGTATTTCTCACCTTTTTTACCAAAGGCTTGGCACTAGGAGCTTTCTTTGGAGCCATGGTAGCTTATTTAGCACTTAAATAACTTGCAAGCACTAAAATAAATGAAATACAGCGATTAATCCGCATACCGCTTGCTTTAATCGCAAAAATTTTGCCATGCATACCGATTAAAAACCCGCTCACCGATTTTCGTCCGAGACGCGTCCAATGTGCGCCCTCAGCCAGCCTCACATGTGCCGCCCGTGCCATTGTTTACCAGCCAGCCTCCGCGGTAACATCCAAGCATACACTCGGAATATTTTGTATTATTACAGTGTTTTCGGTGCTGTTTCTGGAAAATAAGTGACCATGGGCCCCAAGAAAGCTTCTAGTGCCAACCGTACACCAATAAGGGTGAGAATTCCAATAGAAATGAAGAAAGAGATCATTGATAAGTATGAAAGTGGAGTGCGTATCGCCGACCTAGTCAAATTGTACAAGAAACCCCAATCAACCATCGCTACTATTGTGGGCACCAGAAAGACAATCAAGGAAGCTGTTCTTGCCAAAGGTTTAACTGTGTTTTCGAAACAAAGATCGCAAGTGATGGAAGATGTTGAGAGACTCTTATTGGTGTGGATAAATGAAAAACAGCTAGCAGGAGATAGCGTCTCTCAAGCGATCATATGTGAAAAGGCTAGGAAGTTGCATGAGGATTTAATTAAAAAAATGCCTGCAACTAGTGCTGATGTGAGTGAATTTAAGGCCAGCAAAGGTTGGTTTGAGAGATTTAAGAAGCGTATGGCATCCATAGTGTGATAAGGCATGGTGAGGCTGCCAGTTCGGACCACAAAGCGGCTGAAAAATATGTGCAGGAATTCAAGGAGTACATAGACAGTGAAGACTGAAACCTGAACAAGTGTTTAATTGTGATGAAACAGGCCTGTTCTGGAAGAAAATGCCAAGCAGGACCTACATTACTCAGGAGGAAAAGGCACTCCCGGACATAAGCCTATGAAAGACAGGCTTACTTTGTTGATGTTGCCAATCCTAGTGGTGATTGCAAAGTTAAGCCTTTATTAGTGTATCACTCTGAAACTCCCAGAGCGTTCAGGCAAAAGAATGTCCTCAAGGATAATTTGTGTGTGCTGTGGAGGGCAAACAGTAAGGCATGGGTCACTAGGGACTTTTTCTATAACTGGTTACACCATGCATTTGCCCCCAATGTGAAAGATTACCTAACTGAAAAGAAATTAGACCTTAAGTGCCTCCTGGTGTTAGACAATGCCCCTGGTCATCCTACAGACGTGGCAGAGCGACTTTATGGGGACATGAGCTTCATTAAGGTGAAGTTTTTGCCTCCTAATACCACTCCTCTCCTGCAGCCCATGGACCAGCAGGTTATTGCAAACTTCAAAAAACTGTACACAAAAGCTCTGTTTGAAAGGTGCTTTGTAGTGACCTCAGAAACTCAACTGACTCTAAGAGAGTTTTGGAGAGATCACTTTAATATCCTCAATTGTATAAACCTTATAGGTAAGGCTTGGGAGGGAGTGACTAAGAAGACCTTGAACTCTGCTTGGAAGAAACTGTGGCCAGAATGTGTAGACAAAAGGGATTTTGAAGGGTTTGAGGCTAACCCTGAGAGGAGTATACCAGTTGAGGAATCAATTGTGGCATTGGGGAAGTTCTTGGGGTTGGAGGTTAGTGGGGAGGATGTGGAAGAGTTGGTGGAGGAGGACAATGAAGAACTAACCACTGATGAGCTGATAGATCAACTTCACGAGCAAGAGGCCAGACCTGAGGAAACTGGTTCAGAGGAGGGGAGAGAGAAATTGAAGAAGTTGCCTACTACAAAGATTAAAGAAATCTGTGCAAAGTGGCTTGAAGTGCAAACCTTCATGGATGAAAATCACCCTCACACAGCTATTGCAAGCCGTGCTGGTGACTATTACACTGACAATGTTGTGAAACACTTTAGGGAAGTCATAAAGGAACGAGAGGTACAGGCCACTATGGACAGATATCTTGTGCGAAAGAAGTCCAGTGACTCTGAAGCTGGCCCTAGTGGCATTAAAAGAAGAAGGGAAGTAACCCCAGAAAAGGACTTGCCACCTCAAGTCTTAATGGAAGGGGATTCCCTTCTAAACACTAACACTCTCTCTCCCCTCCTCCCATCCCATCAATCATCACCAGATCTTCAATAAAAGTAAGTGTCATGTAAGTGTGCATGCCTTTTTCAGTTTGTGTGTATTAAAATTAACATTTCATGTGGTAAAAAAATATTTTTTTCATACTTTTGGGTGTCTTGCACGGATTAATTTTATTTCCATTATTTCTTATGGGGAAAATTCATTCACATACCGATTATTTCGCATAACAATTACTCCTCTTGCACGGATTAAAATCGTTATGCGGGGGTCCACTGTATTATGAAATATTTCACTGGAGCACGTGAGGGGACTGTCGCTCACTGGTAAACAATGGCACACTGGCTGGGAAGGAAAGGCTGAGGCGGCTCGAGGCCGCTCAGACTGTGCATACGCGTCTGGGACGAAGGACTATTAGCGAGTTACCGGACCATTTCCGAGCCAATATTTTGATGAAAAAACAGGACTATTTCTGAAATGGACGACTTTCAGGCCGGACGATTATTGAGGGACCACTGTACTATCGTACCACGGTCAGCTGTACTACTCGAAGATGTGGAGAGACTGTTGTTGGTGTGGCTTAGAGAATACTGAGAAACAATTAACCCCAGAGGGTTATCCACCCAGGATAACCCAAGAAAGTCAGTGTGTCATCGAGGACTCTCTAACTTATTTCCATTGGGTCCTTAATCTTGTGCCCCAGGATGCGACCCACACAGTCGACTAACACCCAGGTGAACAGGAAAAAATGCCTGGAACTAGTGCTCATATTGGTGAATTAAAGGCCAGCAAAAGTTGGTTTGAGAGATTTAAGAATCATAGTGGCATACACAGTGTGATAAGGCCTGTTCTGGAAGAAAATGCCAAACAGGACCTACATTACTCAGGAGGAAAAGGCACTCCCAGGACACAGTGTCTCATCACTCATCACCACATCTTCAATAAAGGTGTCATTTATTCTTCATTTAGTATACTAGTATACGCACAATATATATTGTGCATGTATCCTTCTTTTTGTGTGTAGGAAAATGTATATTTCATGTGGTAAAAAAAAAATTTCATACTTTTGGGTGTCTTGAACGGATTAATTTGATTTCCATTATTTCTTATGGGGAAAATTAATTCAACTTACGATAACTTCATCTTACGATGTGCTCTCTGGACCGGATTAATATCGTAAGTTGGGGTTCCACTGTATATCCTTTATTCTATCAAATGAAACCAAGAAACCATGAATACAATTGTAAAAATGTGGACAAGGTGTAGATCTACGGCTTAGACCCTCAAATGGGTTAAGGTTTGTTGCCAGAGTGAATCGCCAAGTGCAGATCCCAGTAAGGTATGGTTGAGGGAAAATTAGGGCAGCACTAGTAGTGTAGACCGGGGAACATAATAGTCATTTCCAGAGTGTATCTTTTTTTTTTTAAACATGCTGGATATGACCCTTTCAGGTTTAATGCTTAACCTGAGTATATTATTATTATCACTTCCATTAGTTTTATTAATTCTGTTATTGGATTGGGGACATAATTTCCAAAAGTTATATAAAATGTTTTTTCAATATAGTGTTAAAGGTGAATTTATCAGTAATCATCCAAATATAAACTTTTTTTTTTTTTCTAACTGTGATGCATAATATCAGACAAAGGTTGTGTCTTCAGTAAAGAAAGCAGGTTAATAATGTTGGGTGGCATCTGGTAGGTCACTGATATGAATGAGGTAAATTACTATTATATTATTATAATCATGGGGAGCACTAAACCCATAGGGAATATAGAGCACCTGTGGGGGAAGGTATTCAGGCTCAATTCAGAGAACTGGAGCACAGATCCAGTTCTCTAGATCAAGAGTCCCTCATCATCATCAGGGAACCTCCCTTGAGGGGTGAATGAGGTAAAGAAGAGAACATAGAATGATACCCTTGGGAACACCTTAATTCATTGGTAAGGTACTTGAAGACATCTTTTATGACTACGTGCTGTTGTCTGATACTGAGGTATGACTGACAGTGTTTGTATGTGTTCCTACAAGTCAGTAGTGGTCTAGCTTAAGTAGAAGAATATTGTAGTTAACAGTATCAAAACCATTTTACAAATCAATAAACAATTTAATTAAGACATGGAATAGATAGTTTTCAATTTTTACTGAAGATAACACAAAAGTTTGTTATTCATAACAGCCAGTCATATTATTAATATTAATGTAAATAACATGAAAGCATAAAGGTACCATACTTTTAAAATTTTCTTCCTTTTCTTGTTTATTAACATTTTAATCATTGACAAAGTTAACATGAAAACAATCAAGGATTACATTTCTCTTTACAGTATTATCTATTAATTTTTAAAATTGCTCACTTGAGCGTCTACTATAGTTGATATTTTTCTCAAATCATAGGGACCAGGGGATGTGTCTGGAGGCTGCAAATGTGGAATTCGAGGTAGAAAATGTCACCCAAAATGTACCTACTGCCACTAATATACTGCCATAACATGTGCTCCAGTTAGAAAATATTCTATTGAAGAGAAACAATGGGACTTCATTTATTTCCTGGCACACAAAATAGTATTAAACAAATGTGCATTAAAATTGAAGACTCTAGACTTGAACCATAATGCAGAATGTGCTTGGACATTTATTTCAGCATTATCAAGAATTTATGTAACTTAACTCATTCACTCACAAACTTCCCAGTATATTATGCATTTGCATGTGAATGAGTATCTTGAACTAGTTTGTTGACTGACCAAAGATCAATATTTATGAAAAGTAGATATATTTTACTAAAATCATGACATTTTTTGTTGAAATTTTCAACTTGGTCAAAAGCATTCCATGGCCAGTTGTCAGACAGTAATTGGGGTTTTCCTTATATGAATTGGGTTATACAGTAGATGTTATTTCTTTTGACAGTGAGGCTCAACTTTAAACAGTGAAGTACAGGTATTGTGATTAGAATTATGTGGCACTATACATTTTTTTACTTTAAAAATTGTGATTCTAGTCTTATTGACATTGTCTAGTCTCCAAGTCAGGAAGATGGGCAGCTCTTTATGCTTAAGGTATAATGACGCTTCACAAAGTATTGCAGCCTTGCACTTAGTTTTATCTTTTAATTTATATTTCCAATATCATATCATGATCAAAATGTGGGCACATTACTACAGTGCACTATAAATGTTTCAGAAAAGATGATTGGTAAATATTGTTACTGTGCTGGAGAGACTTAAGAAAGTCTTGAAACTTTATTTATTACCTAGAATCTGGCCTTGTAAGTAAAGTAAGACACAATGACACTAAAATCTAGAGCAAATCATGTAATAAAAGAAGGGAAAACAGAGTTGTAGCTACATAATGAAGCCCACATTTGGAGTGTGCTGTTGTACATTTGACATTTCAGTTTAACTTAAGCCAAAACATTATCACATCAGCACACTCAATTTGTCAGTTTTTTTAAACAAATGATGAGAATATATATTTCTTATAGGCTATCATATGCAACAAATATTAGTATCAAATGTTAAAAACTTTTTATATCCTTAAAACTTTTGTACATTGGGATAGTTTGAGTAAGCTAAGAAATATTTTCTACATTTTTACTTTTGCACATGATTCATGTATTGCATCCTGTATAATGTTAATGATTTGAGTGAATTGAAGTTAAAAAATATGTATGCACACTATCACTGTCTAGGAACTGGTTATAAAGATAAAACCTAACAAGAGTATGTAATACTTGAACTTTGCTTGCTAAACGACCCACACAAAATTAGTGCTTTTCACGAATATACACTTATATGGGAATTGACTAAGTTTCATGGAGACTTAGATTAACTTGGTCCTTGATAAGGTGTCGATGTGCTGCTAAACACACTAACTGGACAACAGTTTGTAATTTTATAGAGTAGCATTGGCAATCTATGGTGTGTATATTGGTTTTCTTGGCCATGGAAGCTCTTGGTTGTCAAAATAACATTGTTCAATTTGCATCTATGAATATAACCTGTGATAATGACTTATTAGTCTAGCCCATTTAACTTAATTTGTATATAATTGTATGTTGCCTCATGCCAGTTGTACACAAGATAATGCATTACATTTTAAAGAACACAGCCTAAATTTTTTTACCTCCTATATTTATGTTTATAATTCCTGTTTTTAAAATTTTGCTTTAGAGTTAATGTTGGAATTTTTTTCAGGTTTGACATTAATATAGGTCAGTGTTAGTTTTCTTTTGAATCACAGTCGCTTATGGCTAAAGCAACTTTTACATACATTTTATGCATTGTATTATTTTCAAAATTTACTCGAGGCAGTGACATGTACAGCAAAAGTTATTGCACTTTGCAGTAATTTAAACCATACTTTGTGTCATATGGTGTGTGCTTTCCAACTTGCTGAGTGCAGTGTTTGGAACACACTAAGTATGAAAGGTGTTGTGCCTGGGTATGTATGTACAGTACTCTCTTGTGATCTCCCTGGAAGAGTTTAGTCTTACATGTGGTTATTAATGTGCAATACACAGTGAAGATTTACAAATGTACATATATATTTTATCTTCTGAGCAGCAGATAATTTAAATTTAAATGTATGTTGATGCTCTTGTGGTGCTAAATAAATTATTTACAATATCTTGTATATTATTGACAACTCTTCATAAATATGGACTTTTATCACAAAAAAGAAAGGTTTTATCCTGTTTCCAACTTTTGAGATAAAGACATTTCCCAAGAGAAAACAGAACAATGATGTACTATATAGGAAATAAAAGCTACAATGGGAGCTTATTCATAGGAAAAAAAAAAAAATTTAAATATTAACCCTTTGACTGTCGAAAGGCCCAATCCTGAAGTGTCTCCTGGTGTCGCAAAATATTTGAAAAAAAAAAAAAATTTCTTATGAAAATGTTAAGATTATTTTTCTGATTGTTTTAGTCAAAAAAAAAAAAAAAATCCCATCAGTACTTACCCAGATAGAGAAGCATGAAGTTTGCAGAAAATGAGCGGCGTATGGCAACAGCGACGACTGCCGCTCACCCGGTAAACTTTGGTTTACTTGTATTTGAAGGTTTTGTTTTTTTCGCTATTTTATTTTTTCACATAACTTATGTGGCCTGTGAGACCAAAGTAAGGTGCAATGTACATATATACACTCGTTGTATGCAACACAATAAGCACACAAACATAATTATCAATATATTGTTTACAAAACTTGTTTACAAAAACAAACAATACAAACAATTTTTTATTACTATTGTTCTATAATATATATAACAATATAGAGTCACTGGACATATTCCTAGAAGTTCTGCAGCTTGTGTAACTCTTTGAAACATGGTGTCATACACAATGGTGTTTTACACTCCTCACACATAAAACCAGTGTGTGTGCATTTTTGTGGAAGTTTTTTTTTATGTGTGAAGACAAAACACCTCGTCTGAGCAGTTTTCTTCAAAGTATTAGCAGGCAGTTGTGTTATGTAGTTATCCTAGGTAAATGGTCGTGTGTCATCATTCCTTCCTGCATTCCTTTCCTGCATTCCTTTCCTACCTTCCTTCCTACATTCCTTCGTCTTTCCTTACTTTTTTCCTTCCTTTGATCTCTTCCTTCCTTCATTCCTGCCTTCCATTCTTCCTTCTGGTTTCTATAATATATACATATATAGTCACTAGATACTTTCATATAACTGCTATTATCTTCATTCAGCAAGCTTGTCTTGTGTGCAAGTGTGTGGCTTATAATTGTTTTGAGTCAGGAGTCGGCAGCTGTCAAAATGACATACAGTGGACCCCCGCATAACGATATTAATAAGTAAGTAAGTTTATTCAGGTATACACAAATACAGTTACATAGAATTATCATACATAGCAGCATATGTGTAGAGAACCTAGGATAACCCAAAAAAGTCAGACAGAGTGACTTATTTCCATTGGGGTCCTTTTACCTTATTATTATAATATAAAGGTTATAATATTTTCTTATTATTCTACAATGAAGATAACATCTTATTATCATAATAAAAAGACTATCTACTACACAAGGGTCATTAAGACTATCTACTACATGAGGGTCATTAAGACTATCTACAATACGAGGGTCATTACTAGGAATAAGGTAAAATTTACACGTATGTTAGCTAAAAAATAGAAAATCATTCCCCTCTCCCTTTCTGTAGCTACATTCATCAGACACCTTTTGGCACTCTGCATGAACCAGTTCAAGAAGAGTGCCAAAAGGTGTCTGATGAATGTAGCTACAGAAAGGGAGGGGAATGATTTTCTATTTTTTAGCTAACATACGTGTAAATTTTACCTTATTCCTAGTAATGACCCTCGTATTGTAGATAGTCTTAATGACCCTCGTGTAGTAGATAGTCTTAATGACCATCGTGTAGTAGATAGTCTTAATGACCCTCGTGTAGTAGATAGTCTTTTTATTATGATAATAAGATGTTATCTTCATTGTAGAATAATAAGAAAATATTATAACCTTTATATTATAATAATAAGGTAAAAGGACCCCAATGGAAATAAGTCACTCTGTCTGACTTTTTTGGGTTATCCTAGGTTCTCTACACATATGCTGCTATGTATGATAATTCTATGTAACTGTATTTGTGTATACCTGAATAAACTTACTTACTTACTTATTAATCCGTTCCTGAGAGCTCATTGTTATGCAAAATTATCGTTATGCGAATGAATTTTCCCCATAAGAAATAATGGAAATCAAATTAATCCGTGCAAGACACCCAAAAGTATGAAAAAAAAAATTTTACCACATGAAATATACATTTTCCTACACACAAAGAGAAGGATACATGCACAATATATATTGTGCATGTACTACTCTACTAAATGAAGAATAAATGACACTTACCTTTATTGAAGATGCAGCAATGACTGATGAGACACTGTGTCCTGGGAGTGCCTTTTCCTCCTGAGTACTGTAGGTCCTGTTGGCATTTTCTTCCAGAAACAGGCCTTATCACACTGTGTATGCCACTACGATTCTTAAATCTCTCAAACCACCTTTGCTGGCTTTAAATTCACCAATATGAGCACTAGTTCCAGGCATTTTTCCCTGTTCACCTGGGTGTTAGTAGACTGGTGTGGGTTGCATCCTGGGAGACAAGATTAAGGCCCCCAATGGAAATAAGTTAGACAGTCTTCGATGACACTGACTTTTTTGGGTTATCCTGGGTGGCTAACCCTCTGGGGTTAATTGTTTCTTGGTATTCTCAATAAGCCACACCAACAACGGTGCTACAGCAGCAGCAGCAGCAGCAGCTGACAGTGCTACAGCAGCTGATAGTGCTACAGCAGCAGCTGACAGTACTACAGCAGCAGCAGACGGTGCTACAGCAGCAGCAGATGGTACTACAGCAGCAGCAGCAGCTGACGGTTGGTACAGCAGCGCAGCAGCTCGATGGTGCTACAGCAGCAGCAGCAGCTGACGTGTGCTACAGCAGAAGCAGCAGCAGCAGCAGCTGACAGTGCTACAGCAGCTGATAGTGCTACAGCAGCAGCTGACAGTACTACAGCAGCAGCAGACGGTGCTACAGCAGCAGCAGACGGTACTACAGCAGCAGCAGCAGCTGACGGTGGTACAGCAGCAGCAGCAGCTGATGGTGCTACAGCAGCAGCAGCAGCTGATGGTGCTACAGCAGCAGCAGCAGCTGATGGTGCTACAGCAGCAGCAGCAGCTGACGGTGCTACATCAGCAGCTGACAGTGCTACAGCAGTAGCAGTTGACCATGGTACCACAGTATTTCGATAATATTTCTCGCCCTTTTTACCACAGGGTTGGCATTAGAAGCTTTCTTGGGGCCCATGGTCACTTTTTTTGCAGAAAAAATTCACCAAAAACGCTTTAAAAATTTACAAAAATTTTCCCGATTGTAGTTTGGGGTTTGTTACCGCGGGGGGCGGCTTGAAAAACAAGGCCACGGCGGAAAAATGTGAGGCGGCTCAGGCCCACATAGCCCGGTCTCGGACGAATAAAAACCCTGAGCGAGTTTTTTAGGCTATGCGAGGAAAATTTTGGGTGATAAAATGTACGCTAGGAGGTTTTTAACTTTTATGTTCCCAAAGGGGTATGGGGGGGGTCCCTGTATTGCCCTATTCTCACTCCCCCTCCTGCCTGTCAAAACAATGGGGTCGGTTTGCTGTTCCCCCCATTATTAATTATCTTTCTTCCCCCTTTAAAACTCTTTCAATCTGTCTCTCCTTCCCTTTTTCCCCTGTCTCACAGGTTTTCACTAAAACAAGGGGACACATAGTGTAAATTTCCCTAGGATTTAACCCCAAAAAATTCCCAAAAAAGTGCTATACTCTGCCCTTTAAAATGTGAGTAAACGTGAGACGCAAAAATTTTTTGGGTCTCCCCTGAACAGAGAACTAGACGGTAAAAAGGGGGGCTTGGCAGACAAAAAGACAGACAGAAATGGTTTTGTTTTACCAGCAAAAAAAAAAAGGGAGGGGGGGTGGTCATTTTAAATTTTTTCCTTTTCAGCTTTCCCCCCCCCCCCAACCCCCCGGGTTTTTTGCTCAAAGAAACGGGCAGCCTTTTTCAGATGTTTTTCTCCCTTATTTGTACTGTCATTTGGGTGGCCCGTTTTTTTTTTGCTTCAAGGCAACATATTTTTTTCATATTTTTTAATTTTTTAAATTTCGGATTCTTCTTTCCCCTCTTCTTTCCTTTTTTCTTCTTTTCCCTTTTTTCTTCTTCTTCCTTTCTTCTTCTTCTTTTTCTTCTCCTCCCCCTCCCTTTTTCCCCCCTTTCCTTTCCTCCTAACTTCCCCCCCTCCCCCCCCCCCTTTCCCCCCCCCCCCCCCCCCCCCCCCCCCCACCCCCCCCCTCCTCCCCCCCCCATTTCCCCCTCCCCTCCTCCCCCTCCTCCCCTTCACCCTCCCCCCCTTCCTCCTCCTCTTTTTACCCCCCCTCCTCCCCTTCCCCAAAACATGAAAATTGATTTTTCACTGACACTTCCCCTCGGGGTTAAGCATCCCTTGGGGGAAAAGAGGGGTCCCCGTTTGGTGGGAAGTCAAAATATTTCTTTTCCGCTAGACATGCTGAAAAAGAATGACTGAAATGGCATTCCCACAATGCACCACTGGCTCCCCGATTTTTTTTATATAGTGCACACTGACCATGGAGACCCATTCTCTCACATGTGGGCCTACCAGCTTTCTCCTGTTTGATTTGAAGCCGCTAGAATTTATGCATATAGATACGTCAAACACGGTATCTCCTATGACGTATATATACGACCGCGACAGTCAAGGGGTTAATTTTTAACCCTTTGGGGGTTGACAGGTCCTCTCGGAGACTTGTTCTCAGGGTCGGGCAAATTTCAAAAAAAAAAAAAAATATTATTTTTTCTTATGAAAAGATAGAGAATCTTTTCCCAATCATAATGACATCAAAAGTATGAAATTTGATGGAAAACTTACGGAATTATGCTCTCGCGAAGTTAGCCGTATCGACGATGTTTACGCATCGGTGATTTTGCCCACTTTGAGCCCTATTTTTGGTCAATTCCAGTGTAATAGTCGACAAAAATCATAACTATTTTGCTAGAACTCCATTTTTTCTATCGAATGAGTACAAGAAACCACCCATTTACGAATT